CGTTTAATACGTGCCGTAAGTACGGAAGGATGGCACGTTGGTCACTAACTGAAGCATGACTCAAAGAAGTTAGCATTTGTCGAAAGTGGAGCCTGGAAGGCCAGTCAAACTTTTTTCTTTGCCCGACATCCGATGAATTGTTTTTTTTGGAAGAATGTTAATACCGCCCAAACACTCTTATATATTTGCGGGAAAAAGTATTAAGCCAATATTCATCCATAACAGTTCCATTGACTGTTCCGTCACTTGTTGATCACGCAATACGTCTCGTAATAGTTCAAAATAAAGAATAAAATCTAATCAATAAAAGTAGAATTGTGGATGGAAACCGATATCTAAAAAAAAATATTTTTCAACCTGGGCTTCTCGATATACTAACTCTATTATTTTTCGTACCAATCAATTCTCAATACGCAAATTATAGTTGTACACGTGTATTATAGTAAGCAGTTTTATTGTCATCAGGAATTCGGAATTCCTAGTAATAACTGATTTAGTATATTTACAAACAAGTTTGTTTGTATAAAAGCGAATAATTCTCTACACACTGCAGGACATTTTTGGATGTGTTAAGAAAATATTTGTAATTTGTTGAACGCTTGTTTGTCGATACTTGTGTGGGCACTTGTATTTGTTCATTTGCTCCATTTAATGACAGAATCACTTACGCTTCAAGTAATTCTCATTGCGCATATAAATCCAAATTAAGTTTGAAGTGGGGCGAAAGAAAACATGAAAGTTTGAATAAGAAAAATATAACAAGCATCTAGGGTATATATTTAAAAACCAATTACATTGTAAATTGTATACAGAAACGTATTTTTAGTATTTTCTACAAGTTGTGTGGGTGTTTGCAAGTGATTGAGAGCTTAGAGACTAACAATTGTAAAACGACAAGGTAGGTGTGTGCACAAGTTGATTTGTGTTGAAAAGATATATATATAGAACAGAGTGTCTTCAATTTCGAGGTGATAACACGTGTTCCTCAATACAGTATGTTCAAGTGGGCACACTTGAATATTACTAAACAACTTCAACTAAATTTAATGGATTATAAAGAAAAATGTCTAAAAAAATACAAACAAAATAAAATATATACGGTACCATTTTTGTATAGAAGAAAAACGAATACCATACTTTAAAATTATATCGTATATCAAGTCTCTACAGAAGAAATCACACATCATATTTAATTTTGTAAAATATTTAACATTCGTTGTATGGATTTTAACTACATTTAAAAGAACTTATTTTTGTTTTGAGACATTTGGCAAACAATGCCAAAAGGTGGCCCAAAAAGAAAAAAGACAGCTCAGCTCTTGCACCAAATATTATTTGTTTAGGAGTAGGTACATGTTCATAGTTGAATACATACCGTGAAAGGAAAGATAATCTCTTAAACGATATTTTTCTTTAACTTGGGGGAGCTATGCGTCTATATAGTAAACATTTATCTGTTTATAATATAAAGGGATAAAGTGTGTGAATTTGGATGTTCGCCGTAATCTCCGGTAATACTAATCATTTATTACCTTTAGCCTAATACCTCTAAATTTTGTACCTCAGAGAAAAATATGATTTTTATGTTAAGAGAGAAAAGATTACAAGATAAAGTTTGAAAACATTTTTCAGAAACATTTAATAAATCCTTATAAAAACTAATAACTCAATCAATATGGAAATATTGGAGATTGTGCTTACTTTTTATTTTACTAAATGGTCTTGAAGTAGTCTTCACCAGCTTAAAAGTGCGAAAAAATGCGGAGCTTGAACTCGAACTATTATTAAAAATTGGTACACTTATTATGCTTTTAAGAAACTGAAGTCCACGCAATAACATCTGGTAGAAGGCTTGAAAGTCAACTAAATGTGGTGACTACTTTTAACATCGCATGGATTCCAACGATCGCTATTGATTTGGGAAAAAGTTCCAAATTGCTCCGTTTTCCGCTGATAACTCCATTTGAACTAACCATTAATATGTCCCATGGACAAATAATCTCTTTGGTAGTTCTTCAAAGAAATATTTTTCAATAAATACCGACATAATTAAAAGCTCTCAGCAGAATTTGATAATTTCATTGCGGATTTGTTATTAACACTTCAAATGGTAGACAATTTCTCCTCATCGATATTTGAAACGATATTGTAATAATCAAGGGAATCAAATCAAATTCTTGAAAATCAATCAAATCAACTGAGATTTCGTGAATTATGTTCATAATCTAATTGTAAATTTAAGAAAAACATAGTAGTCCTCATCATGAGAGTGCAAAAGAGTTACCTTAGCAGAGATTTCAGGAAATATGCAAATAATATTATATAATTGAATTAAATCTCAAAGTTTGGAAAAACCACAATTTAATTTGTGGCAGTGTAAGCAATTTGAAAAATAGAATTGAAAATAGAAAAATAGAAAAAGAAGCCATTATTGGCTGTTATTTGATGTTCAACAGCTACTTGTAATACATTTAAGCACTTTTCGAAAACGCTTACGTATTTAAACCGCAAAAAAATTGCAAGGAAAATATTAAAATGTGCCTTTAAGCACTTTATTGATTCAACTCGCAAGTGCGCTTGACTTACCCACTAATTTTTACCCAATTTGTTCTCCATTTATTGTGCAGCTTATTGCCAAATATAAATGTGCATGGATTTTCTGCTTATTATAACCGTAACATAAACAAAATGGCCCAGACGATGACGCTACTTAATTTGGTCTATTGGTCGTGTTGTAGCTGCTGTTGCCGACACATTTTAAGTACTTGGAAATCAAAAAGGAAAATACCAAGTATTTTTGATATGTTCAACACGCGTAAGTTCTAGTCCCTTCGTATTGTTTCTGCTCCAGCTCCGGCGCTTGTCGCTTGCTGCTCTCATTGCAACAATGTCAGCCAGACTTTTGCACAGATTTGCGAGCAGACCTTTTGTGTATGCTTTGAGCCGCCGTAAGTATTCAAGGCCAGCCAGCGCCGCCCTTGACATGACACGCGGCTAAGGACAAAGTCAACTTTAACAATAGTATGGGCGTTTGATATTTGGTGAAGGGACCAACCTATCTCAAGTCACTATTTCTACGAAGATTTTATGCAGAGCAAATAGAAAGGGCACGCCAAAAGTCGAAAAAACGACAAAATATTTATAATATAATATTTTTAGTAGTGAAATGATTTGGTTGTTAGCCGCTGTGACATTTGCTGACCGGCAGTTGGCGCATTCAACTGCAGTAGCAACCAGCAGTAGTTAATTAAAATTTATTAATTTTTATTACCGTTGGCGCATTTCGGAAAACTTCATAACTGCGGTATAATATGTAAATGCATATGTGCATAGCGCTCGGTACCGCCTTTGCCCGTACGATATTAAGGGCACACCAGAGCCACTTTATATAATTATATTGGTTGATCTAATGAATTAGTTGTTGTAAGAAGTAGTATCGTCACCTAAATAAATATACATATACTAATATACTGCAGAAGCAATACAAACAATAGGGTAGTGTGGTGTTATCAAGTCGACATTGAGTACTTCTTGCTATCCTCGACGGCATAATTTAAACTTAAATCACTTCAAATGAGTTTCGGCGGTTTTAATCTGTGTCAACCGCAGGTTCCACTTTGTCTTTTTGTCCCTTCAGTTCGATACCCTGGAGATCATGCAATGAGAAGTACAATGAAGCAAGTTAGCAAATTTATGTGTTTAATAAAAAGTAAAGTTAGCGCGAGATTGCTCTCTGGAGACGTGATAGTTCTGCGCTGAGTCTCTTGCGGTTTCGTAGACCCAAAAATCATAACAATGAAAATATATTCTTTATGGAATCTTTATTGATAATATTATATTAAATCGGTAGTGCTTTGGTTTTAGTTAGAAGCATTAAAAATCGTAAAATTATTGCTTAATTATAAACACCAAATACATTATTTTCAATTAAAATATGATTTATGTGAACTTTTGAAATTCATTCGCACGAAGTATTGATACATAATCCATATCTTTATATGTGATTTTTCACTAAATAATGCATAAAATAAGCCCTTTTTGGCTGCTGTACTTTCTTCTTTATTAATTTTTCGACATGCTTTGACATAAATAGAGGGATGTGTACAGTCAATGCCTTCTCTTTGAATCCAGGATTTTTATTTTAAGTTCATAATCAGTATCTTTTTCGTTTAAGAAAATGAGAAAAAAAAATCACTTATTAAAAAAAGATGATAATTACACCTCTAAAATACTAAATCATTCGACTGTTTATACATTTAAAAATAACATACTCAAATTTTAAATCGATATCTCCAATCGGTTTTGAGTCACAGCCTTCTAAAAAGTAGCCACTCAGTTTGAAAAATGTGGTTTTGAGTAAAACACCTTTAAAGATAATCAGTTTTTCAAATTTGCTTAAGTGATTACTCAAAGTAGTGATTTGATCACTATCAAATATTTCCGCATATTCTTTATATAGTTCTCCATAAAACTATAAAAATAAAACAATGGATGATCTTTCTTTCAGAGCCGTCGGAGATCGCATTCATTCCTAAAAAACGTATAAATATATCCTTAAAATTTGGTAGTTTTCTCTTTTTAATTCCAAAAAATCGTAATTTTTAGGCTGTCACACTAGGTGTTCCCTAAACCTTAATCATATGCATGTTAATCTTCAATCAACTTATTTGTTGCGTGAGCCCACTGTGCAACGTTTCCCACAACTACAGATAATGCAGGCCGTATTTCAAGTTCTAATTTAAATAGATTAAATTTGCTGTCGTCTGTTGTCAATGGTAGTACAATTATGGGTAGTGCTATTCGTGGCGTAAAGCAAAAGATAAATGATTTTCTTGTCGTTAAGGGTGTTTGAATTAACTGTGGTTTGGGCGAAGATTTCGGTAAATATGCTAATTTTGATTAATATGAATTGTATTTAATGTTAATACTATTTAGAAAAATCAATTATTCCTATCATCGTAAATGCTTATAAATGAAGATTATTTTTTATCTTTTTTCAGGCTTATCTCCATGCAAAGGCTACACTAATTTGAGGTAAGGGTTACAGTTTACGCTATTTGAGTACTGAAGGACATATAATATAATTTGAAGTTATAATTTATGCTATTTGAGTATTGAAGGATATATATTATATATTTTAAATTAATTTTTCCTTTACATTATAAATATATTTTAGATTTTCCATAGTTTTATTAAGAACATTCTCCAATTTGTAATTATGTTTAATATAACTACAATAAAAAAATAGTATATTTTAATGTTCCTAAAAAAGGTTTTAACATTTTTGGAAATTAGACCGAATCACTTATCATTAGTGTCCTCAAAGACAATCTCCAAAATTGTAAATAAATAAGCAAATGGCCTTGACGACTGAACTTATAATTTCACGTTAGATAGACAGTTTATTAGGAGCAAGTGGCGAAATAATTCTTAAGGCTACATAATTTCCCTTAGGATATTTAGTAACCCTGGTAACATTTCTGTAGTCGAACGCTTGTGCCGATTTGTTTTGTCTTTAGATAAATCACAAGCAGAATAATAAGCAAATCTGACTCAAATATAACAAAAATCATTTTAATGGTTAATTTCGGAATATGGAAATAGTTATTCCATAAATTTCCATAATTCTTAAATATACACAGACGCTTTCCTGTTCTCAATTATTTGAAAAAATTAGTGAGTAAATGAAGTTTTTTTCCTTGGTAAGTTTCATTGTCTGCTATAAAACACAGTATCAAACTAGTCCGAATTAACGGGTGAAAACAAAATTAGAACTTTATTGGAAGAAACGAGTTGAAATCCGGGTGACTGTCTGTCCGTCCGTCCGTCCGTCTGTGCAAGCTGTAACTTGAGTAAAAATTGAGATATCTTTATAAAACTTACACATGTTTCTTGGTAACGTAAGACGGTTGGTATTGCAGATGGGTGCAACCGGATCATTGCCACGCCCACAACAACGCCATTAATCAAAAACAAATAAATTGCCATAATTAAGCTACACAATAAGATACAAGATACCTTATTTGGTATCACATTAGGAAGGGGCATCTGCAGTTAAAATTTTTTTTTTAAGTGTTCCCGCCCTGTAAGAGGTTTAATGTGCATATCTCCTATACTGTTTAAGCTATAATAACAAAATTTACTGGGAACAAATGTTTTTAGCATCTCTATCCCGCCCACTCTCCATATAACGGCTGTTAAAAACTTCTAAAAGCGCGATAAATCAAGCACTAAACAAGCCAGAGACATTAAATTTAATAACTGGGATGGTATGAGATGACTTTATAGGAACCGCGTTTTAAATTATGGCACCGCCCACTTATAGATGGAAATTTCTATATTAAAGTAATCAACTTATAGCTTCTTCACTAAACCCGTTCTAGATTTAATAATTTTCAATGGGAGAGCTAATGTTAGTCGCTAGCAAACCTTATTATTTAGGTGTTACATTAAAGTTGTAACTATGGATGACTCCAAACATTTTTTTCGGATAATAGTTTTCCAAAATATTTTACATTTCTATAGATGCCAAAATTTGTAGGATCAAGAACTTACGTGAATCTCACATATCTTAATGTTGATGTGAGTTTTTCTTTCATCGCCGTAAAAATTACTCGAAACGAGAAAAAATAACAAAATCTTGGCCAAGATCTTGGATGTTTTCATTGTCCTAACTAATCACACTAAGTTTCTTCACTGATCCTCTAAAGTTAGAAATTAGATGAGGGGATTAGATATTAGGTGCCGCTGTAGTCGCTAACTAACTACCTGTTTTTCATGCGCGGTTCTGGATCCAAATGGACAATACCTTTAAAGCAAAATCAAAGATGACTAAAAACCAAATTATTTATACAAAATGAATTGTGATGTAAATACGTTTGACTTTATTGGAACATTTTTATTTTTTAATTAGAAATCAAATAACTATTTATGTTTAACTGAGAGAGAGAATAGTGAAAAATTGTCATTACTTAATCTTTGTATATCGATTCAATCAAAAATTATTATATATAAAAAAAAAAAAAACGTTTTACCTCAAATGTTGCTAAAAAAATAGTAGGAATCCATATTTATGTTTGTTTACTTTCAAAGGTAGAGATGACAGCATCCCCGAATTTGAATAGACTCAAAACCATAAGTCAGTGGCGGCTAATTTTGAGAGCCTCCTCTGTTATCCCATACACGTTTTGACTCCGAATTCGGGGGATAAGTTTACTCTTTTCAAAAATTGTCTAGTTTATTTTGCCTAATGCATGAAGCGAAAGCATATCTCCTACATTTATCACCATATTTCTAACGGAAATTGCTCAAACCCCCGTTCAGTTCCATACATGCCAGACCGTTTTGAAGCATTCCTCAAAGTAATTTTCTCTTTCCCAAGTCTTAATTATATAATGAATTTGATGAATAACAAGTTTACTTGAAAATAGTGGCTAATTTTTAATAGGCTTAAAGCTGCCAACGAAATTTATTGCGCCTGAAGAGCATTACGGTAATTTGTAAACAAATGTGTATGCATTATTCCCGCAAGTCTATTATCAGGGAATTTCCTCACTTAAGTGCCAAACATTCACGCCAGCGGGGAGCCATTTGTCTACCACATGTGGAGATGGGATAATTAGTCGACCAGTTGTTAGGAGGCAGTGGTCGTTGCAAAAAATTCATCAATCTGTCGCAACACCATAAATCGATTCACAAGTGAGCAAGTGTTCCTCGGAGTAAGTATATGCAAATACCTCTTAAGTACATACTATTCTATAGAGATGTGGCTCGTACATACTTGTATCGACGTCTATTTAGCTCAATGTGTGAGCAGGAGCAGTAAAAACGCGCAAGATTTCGTTTCGAATAAATTCTTCGCAATTCATTGAGAACTTCCAGGTGTTTGCGAGCGCATTGCGGAAATATCGCATTTGCGAATGTGGCTGTTAATAAAAACAACAACAAATAGACCAACTGTGTGCATAATTAAATGCTTCGTTAATTACGCCATCACAGCTATTAGCCACTTAATTGGTTCAACGCGTAAGCGCAATTTGTGGCATATGTACTATATAATATACACACCCTACACATATGTAGGTACATACACATATGCACAGATGAACACACCTACAATATCCGCTTAAGCAAATATGTGCGTTATGTGAGCAATGTGTGTTTACGATCGTATTTTATAGCTGAAAATTGAAATATTTTCTATTTAATGAATTGAAATCTGAGTGAATGAATGTTCGTGCGTATGGAGCAACAACCAACCACTTACAATTTGGAAAATTGCAGATATCAAAATTGAAACTATTTATTCGCACATTTTCGTTCAGCTGTGGGGCTGTGCAATGATTTACATTTTGTGGACGTAAGTAATGAGACAAGTTATGGTCAATGGCAGGCGGCATTAAACAAAGCATTTTAACGAAGCAAATAAGCTTATACCAAAAACGAGCTTTAATTTTTTTTTCTGTTTGGTTGGAATGACACCAGTCAAACATATTCAATGAGTGATCAAAACACATCATATTATTTCATTGTGTTGAAAATGTCAAATTTTGTACCGGAAAGCATTAATTTTTTATTTCTATTTGAAGAAAAGTGCTGCAGAGTCGCATTGATTGCTCGTCGAGGCATATGGTGATCATGCTCTAACAGAAACAATGATTTGTTCAGAGATAATGATTTTTATGTGATAAATGAAGAACGTGGAAGACCACCAAAAAAAAAAAATTGAAGACACCAAAATGCAAGCAATATTGGATGAAGGCAAGACTTTAAGTCAAAAGTAAATGGCAGCCATGTTAAATGTTACTCAACAAACAATTTCAGATCGTTTGAAAGTTATGGGAAAGATCCAGAAGTGTGAAAAATGGGTGCCACATGAATTGAATGAAAGACAAATGATTAACCGAAAAAACGTTTGCTTCAAAGACACAAAAGAAAATCAGTTTTGCATCGAAATGTCACTGGCATTGAAAAATTGATTTATTTTAAGAATCCTAAACAGAGAAAATCATGGGTTAAGCCGGAACAACCATCAACATCGACTGCGAAAACAGATCGATTCGGTAATAAGGCAATGCTCTGTGTTTGGCGGAATCAGAAGGATGTGGTGTATCATAAAATTCTAAAACCTGGTGAAACTGTTAATACTAATCGCTACAGCTAACAAATGAACCAGATCAATTTGAACCATGCATTGATCGAAAAACGACCAGAATGGGCCAGAAGACACGAAAAAGTAATTTTGTTACACGATAAAGCATCTGCACACAAAGCAAAATCCCACCGCCATTTTCACCAGACTTGGAATATACCGATTATCATTTTTTTTCGCTGATGGGACACGCATTGACTAAGCAGCACTTCGATTCCTACACAGAAGTCGAAAATTAGGTGTCTGATTGGTATGCTTCAAAATACGAACATTTCTATTGGCATGGTATCCACAAATTGCCAGAAAGGTGGTCAAAACGTGTGAAAAGCAATGATCAATACTTTGAATAATTTTTTTACTTTCCTCTTTAAAATTTGTATTTCATTTCACAAAAAACCGCTCATTTTATACCGGTACACCGTATATATATATATATATAATATACATATGTATGACTCGGTAGTGGATGCCTTAATAAATTTAACCGAGTGAAATATATTCGGTTACACCCTGTTTAGTGTTTCTCTTCTTATTATTTAATAAAAATGTGATGAAAACGATGTGTATATATTTCGAAACAGATGAATATGTTTGTATATAGAAACACCAGATTAACTAGAACAAGAAAAAGGTTCCTTACAATAACTTGATTCCGATCTAATTTCGTGAAGATGCCTCGTCAAATAAAAAAGTTTTCCATGCAGGCACTTTACACTAATCGTTCAGTTGATATGGCAGCTATGTGTTATAGTCATTCGATCTGTGCAATTTTTTTCGAAATTTACACTATTGCCTTAAATAATAATCCATGCCAAATTTCGTGAAGATACAAAGACTTGCTTCCGATTGTTCAGTTTGTATGCCAGCTATATGCTATAGTGTT